CTTTCCTTCCCTCTCTGTAAGGTTCTCCCCATCCACGATCACAGCAACAGAGATCCCAACTACAGAGGACCAGCATTAGGATAACCTGTATGGAAAGAGTGAGCTTCGGGAAGGCAGGCAGAGCTCACCACACCTCACATTTCCACCTAAGTTGCCTGCCCCAAGTGCAAGCACTTTAACCTGTGTGTATACACATGTTGTAAGTATGTATGTACGTGTGTGTGTGTGAATGGGAGTGAGAAAGAGAAATCTCAGCATGTTTTAATTGAGGGTGGCCTCAGGATATAGACAGATGAACAGGTGAGGTAAAGTCACCATGGGCTTTTAGTATTGACAATATGTCTGTGCATGCACACACACCCCTTCTTTTTTTCTGAGATGCTGTAATTGCATGTAGAGATGGGCATTGTTGACAGAGATTGCATTCTACCATTGTCACCACATTTCAGAACCTGGTGTATATCTTGCTTGCCACAGGAGTTGTCCCCGTGGCTGGGTTGCCATCACCAACTCTTTAGCTGTATAGCTTATATGGGATTTTACCTGTGGCCAGTTTAAACTGGTCAGATGCTGTACTGAACTTTCACTTTTTATGTTGGTTCCGTTTACTCAAAATGCAAAAGGAATATCATCCTTTGGTGGCTTTACCACTTCTGATTGTCATCTGAATTCACCCTGGTTCTATGTTTATCGGTCCATTTAAAACAAAATCCAAACATTTATACTTTTGGATCTCTTCCCCCTCCCCCTCAAGAGCCCAATCCAGAACAGCTGTATAGTAATTTAAGGGTATTTAGATTGCTATGCATGAAGGTGGAAGTTTGGATGTGAAATTTGTTCAGTTTTCAGAACTTTAGGGGGACAGGAGGAAAACAGGTCTTTGCACCTACCTCTTGCAATAAAAATGAAGTGGAGCAGGACACCGTAGAACCCTTTCTTGCTCTTCATCTCTGTCGGCATAAAGTCTGTGCAAGGAAAAAATCTGAACAGAGAGGAGCAGCGGCAATAGTGGAAATACTTTCTCCTGCTCTGTATGGGTTTGTGTTTCTTCTTATCCTGTGATAAACTAGCAAATGTAAATGGGGTTGGGTGGGGTGAAGGTGGGTTAGCTCTTAGATCAACTGCTTGTACTTGAGGGGCTTTCTTTGTCTTTTTTTGGTCTTTCTGTTTTAACAGCTTGGGGGTTGGATAACCTTGGGGAAGAAAGCTACTTGTGCATTCTCCTTCAGAGCACTAAACCTACAACCTGCTGATCAAAACCAGCATGCAGGCACATTTGTCCTTCTTGAGAGCAGGGGCCTTAATTGGAGGGTGCTTGTCTAAGGAGGGTTATTGTTATTGGCTTAGATGCCTTTGTTACACATGTTTGCAAGATGAAAGGGTGCCTGAGGGAGTGCTGTTGGACAGGTAACAGTGTTCTGAGTGGGGATGGGGGGGGGATGCTGCCTACAGAACACTCCCCATCCAAGCCTGTTGACCCACAGCAGTTGAGGGAGATTTAGCTTTGCACCATTGTCTTGTTAGTATTGTGAATCTTGGACCAATGTTTAGAACAGACTGAAAAAAAAGAACACATTCAATCAGCTCACAGGCCTGCCTTCCTGCTTGCAGACACACGATCTTCCTTTGAACACTGGTTTAAAGCACAAAAAAGGCTCTCTTCACAAATGGCTTGCAGGGTTGGTTGTGGGTAGGAGCTCCCGATGCAGCCCCAGCTCCTCTCCCAAGCCGATGCAGCCCCAACCCAAATGCAGCAGAGAGTCCCCTTGTGTTCCAATGTACAATCAAAATGTAAACCTTTTTTCTACGTCCCACCTTACAGTCCAAAAGCTTGAGATGCAGGTGCTTTTGTTGGCATCATTCCTTTCTCAGTGGTTTCCTCACCTCCCCGCCCTAATCCCTCCGCCATTAGGGGCCTCTTGACAAAATGAAGCACTTGGTTTTCTGTCAGGAAACGAACCTCTGACAAGACTGCATTTCCTTCCAAGAAAAGAACAGACAACCTCTTTTCCCTCTGCCTGGTTGTTCCATGAAATGAATGCATTATATTAAAACATCTAAATAAATATATGTATGAAAAGAACAAGGAAAATTAGAGAGCTACCACAAGCCATCCATCACACCCCAATACACCCCCTTCCTGGGCACAGTGTGGAAGCCACCTTGTATAAGCCCCTTATGTGAATCCAGTGAATGGTTACTTTTTTGTCTCAGATGTTATATATATATATAAATATATAATATGCATTTTCGGAATTACTGCATCACCTTTTGGGGGTGGGAGAAGGGATGGGGTTGAACAGGAACTTAAAAGCTAAATTAAAAACAAAGCATTCAGACTTGATCTATTTTCTACAATGTATGCTGCGACCAGGTCCTGTTATTCATATTGTGGCTTTGAATCAATTATGTTTATTAAAATGCTGTTGCTTCTATCTGTCTCTGACTTGTTTTTCTGACACCACAAGGGGGGGGGTGAAGTACGGGGAGAGGGCACAAGTGACAGTCATGTTCTGACAACATGATCTGGTAGCTTATTTTTATTATAATAATCTGTTCTCCAGCCTTACTCTGTAATGGATGCCCATCAGAAATCATTTTCCTATCTTTAAAGGTACGCTTCACCTTGGCTTGGTTTGGTAAGGCAAAATAATGTTACTATTGCAAGACTATAGATTTTGGGAGCTTTGAAGTCCAGGAAGATACGTACCAGTCTAGGATAGAGCTTGGAGCACAGTTTTGATATCCAGAAGCCTCTAAAAACAATATAATTCCGAGTTTAACCTCTGCATCCTCTTCAGGAAAAGATCATGGTCTGTTATGCATGGCAGTGAGGCCTAGTAATGTTTTCCTATATTTCAGGGTAATTCCATAGGTATTTTAGTCTCCTGTTTCTGTAAAGTGTTCCTGGAAGAAGATCTGAGCCATGTTGCCGAAGTATGTTTTGTGTTTGGTGATGGCCCTTTTATTTATTTTTAATCTCCCTTCAATGGTGGGGATGATGGTTAGTCTGCATTTTCTGTATGGTGAACCAAGCGCATCACAGTTTTAGATTTGTTAAAGGGACAGAGATGATTCTGTGTATAACTTGCTTTCTTTTGATACATGATTGTATTGGTTTCTAGAGAGAATCCTTTTCCCCTGTGGCATACTGAGGTACTCTACAGAAGGGGTGAAGTAGCCCTTACTTGGGGGGGAAAAAATCTAATGAACAAGCAATTTAAGAGAATGCAAGTTCCCTTTTCCCTGAGAGAGAGAGTGGTTGTTCTCTGGTGGCTTGCCTGGGTCCTTTATTCATTCCTCAGCATAACCCCAAATCCCAAATTTTCCCCCACTCTCTATCTAGTACCTCTGTATCCTGCCCTTCTGTCAAGGAGCTCAAGGTGATGTATATGGTTCTTCCTCATTTCATCCTCATAACAACACTGTAAGGTGGGTCAGGCTGAAAGGGACTGTCTCAAGGTCATCACCCAGATAGCTTTATGGCGGAATGGGAATTTGAACCAGGTCTCATATCTCAGTCCAATATTCTAACCACTATATCACCATGGCTTTTGGGGGGATATTTTTGTATTTTTTTTCTGTCCATCTGTGTGTGTGTGTGTACACCTGGAAGTAATGGCGACTGACCCCTACTGGGGACATGAAGTATATTCAGAGAGGTGGCTGAATAAAGCCTGCCCCTGCCTACTGGCTCTGGTATTCCAAGGAGATCTCCCATCCAAGTACTTGCCAGAGTCAGCCCTGCTTAGCTTTCGAGACCGAGCTTCCCTGGGCTATTAAGGTCAGGGCACCACCACGGCTTTCTTAATATGCTTTCTCCCACATAATCTGAGACTGAGACAAAGTCTTTAATTTCTTCATTCTTAAGTGTGAACGACACTAGAGACTTTGGAAGAGACTTATCTTTACTTATTGGCAGCAGCTCACTTTAATTCTGTCCTCCCCTACCCTGTGTGAACCATGGGAGGAGATACCGTCAAAATTGTCTCCTTGTTTACCTCAGGTGCTCTCTGCCACAATCCAGTGCTAACAACCAGCTGTGGTGCAACAAGGGGAAGACTGCCTTTTAAAGAATTAAAGAATTCATTTCCCTTTGTCTCGATCTAAATAAGGAGAGAGCCAAAGTTATTGGCCTTGTCCAGTTTAAAACTTGTCAAAAATTGGTTGCAGACATCTGTGAGCCTCACTCTAAATTTGTGAAGCGGGACTTGAGTACATTAGGTGACTCCGTGCTGGCCTGCACCCCTTCCACTCAAACCTGCACGTGCTGAAGGCCAGTGAAGTAGCCTTTCTGTGACCCCTCCCAGAGCTTTTTAAAAAAATGTATGGTCAAAAATGTTTTGCTGTCCCCAAATGACCTAGGCTAGGTCCCTTGTAAAAGCTGTTGGGTGCAGTTTGAATTGCTCTATGGCTTCCCTAGCATCCCTTAAAAAATAAGTCCTCCTTCAGAGCCTTATGGTGGAGAACTCAAAGAAGTCCTAGGTGCCGCCACCACTTCCCCATTTTCGCTCTAGCATAAGATAAGGCTTAGGTCTGCTCTCCACTCCCCGTGCCTGAGGAATTCCAGTTCTTTCATATCAGAGGAGAGCAGATATGGCTGTATATTGGGGGGGGGGGGAGGAACAGTTGTTTCAATGAATGTCCACTTGGAAGTGTTTCAAAACCTTATTCTTCTTTATTGGTACACTTGGTTAAATGAGAATGAATTTCAAAACTGCATTCATGATACAGATAGCCTGTAAAACACAGCCATGCTGCAGATATGGTTTTTTACATTCTCCCCCCCCCCCCAAGTCAAGGTAGCTTCTCCTGTTGAAAGCCTTTCAGTTAAAGTGCACTGGGAGCCTACAATTTATATCCAAATTGAGTTGCTCCATAAGATAGCTGCTGTCTTACATCTCTCCCCCCCCCGCCTTGCACCGTGAAAGGCACACAATTTGTGCCTCAAGCAATTTGTTGTTACTCCCCTTTATAAAGTACAAAGTGTTTCAGCATATTCCAGTTTTGTGGGAAAGGTACTGGAAGGGATACCATTGGCTTGTTGCCAAATGTTGAGGCAAGTAGATAGAATGATGTATTACTGGTGCTACTGATCTTCCTCTTAAAGTTTTCCTACAAATGGACATTCTCTTGGGAAAATACAGTGAATTTCATCATCCCTCGGGATGCTATGGGAAGGAGCTTGTACTGGAGTGGCCCATTCCTTCCCTCCTTATGGTTGGGTGTTGCATGTTGAGAAAGTGCTACCCATCCACATGGAAACTGATCTGGCCTTCGAAGATGGCAATGCAGAGCATAAGGGCACCTCCCAGAAGGAAGCCCAGGTTCTGGAGGACAAAGTGTATGAAGGAGCCTCTTTTACCCCTGGGAGAGCGCCTGTGCAGCATCTCAGGCAGCTAAAAAGAAGCAAAAACAGCCTGTTATCCAGTTGGAAGCCACAATAAAACAGCCTGCAGGTTAAAGGAGATTTGTCCTTGAAAGCAGTAACAAGCAGATTGTACAGTTATCTTAATCACATCACAACCTTTGGCTACCTGAGTCCCTGGGCAATTTAGGAGCAGAGGCCTTGGGGTGTTACTTCACCCTCCTGTCTGAAACAACCGCTCTCTCCACTCCTCTGCGACATGGAGTAGACGCTTCTCCTTGCTCCAGAGTTTTTAGCCTGAACCTATATCTTTTACAGGGAGAAAACCCTGCAGAGTCCAAGGGAGTGCTTTCATGCTTTAGTTAACGTAAACCTGCCCTTCCTTGAAGAAGCTCAAGGCAGCATGCATACACCCTCTAACTTATCCTTATAACAACCCAGTAAGGGAGGTAGGCTGAGACATAAGGACGGGCTCTAAGGCAACCCAGTGAGCTATGTGGGTGAGCAGAGATGTGAATATGTTTTTAGAATCTGGATATAACCCAGTGTGATGTGACAGCATCAAGGTAGGACCTGGATTCAGATCTCTCAGTCACGAATCTATTAGATGACCCTGAGCCGGATGGTCTTTCTCTCCACCTAACTGCGTTGCAGTGTTGTGGGAGAAACTGGATAAGGAAGAACTATGTATGTTGTCCTGGGTTTCTGGATGTAAGGATGGAATACAAGTGTAATACAAGGCTTCTAAAATAACACAGATTATCCCGTCTGAAATCTTGAAAGAAAAGGGTTTTATAGATAAGGAGTCAGCTGACACTGAGAAAGTGGGATGGAAGTAGAATTCTTCCCTCACCCTCAAGGACTCGGAGTAGACACAGGATTGCTGTTTGGGAGGCCAGAGGCAGAAGACACAGGGCCAGCGATGCCAGAGAGGTGGGTGAGGGCCACATGTTGCTTTCCATTTCCTTGCATACGGACAACGATAAGACATGGGCTGTACAGCCATGTTTTAGGAGGTAGGTCATGCTGTATTGGTGGAAAGGGGGGGTAGTTTAGGGTGAGAGATAGGGTTGCCAACTGGGCAGGATAAAAATATCCTGTTCTTTTCATAATGGTTAAAGGCAAAGGAAAGGGCTGCTGAAGCTTTTCATGGCATCGGCATACCAGCTGGTATTTGCTGCAGATCAAGCTGATACTAAAGGGACAGCTTAGAGGGACCCATTTAAAAGTTGGCAACCTTCTTGGGAGAGGTTTCTGAGCCCTTTCCTCACTACTTCAGCCCCTGAAACAATCTCTCCTCCCCAGCTGCAGCGCTTCCTCTTGGGCTTACTACCAGTTTTGGAGCATAAGTGGAAGAAATGCTGCTGAGTGGAAGGGTTGGTTGGGGGGGTCAAAAGTTGTGGGTAAGGACAGCTTCAGCACCCCAACCGCTTCTCTGCTTCCAAATTGCCTAACCTGTTTTACAGTTGTGCCTCAGTTCCATGTTCTTCTAGGTGGGTCTTCTGCAGCATCTAAAGACCTAGCCAACTCAATTGAGCCATCAGGCCTGTATATACTGTATGACACAACAAGGCAGCCAGCTGAACCACCCATGCATGGTGGTGTGTGGAGGGAGGACAGCCACTGGAAAGTCCTTGGTAGGCCATGTTACTTCCACTGGCTGAGAAGACATCTGGGAGTCCCTTCCTCCTCTCTCTGACCAAGGTTGATGGCTTTTTCACACACAGCGTTGTGTGGGTGAAAAGTGCTGTCATGTTGCAGGGTTTTCAATGCAAGCGATTTTTCTGCCATTCTCTGCCTCTGTATAGCAACCAGGACTTCCTTGGTGGTCTCCCATCCAAGTACTAACTAGGGCTGACCCTGCTTAGCTTTTGAGATCTGACGAGATAAGGCTAGCCTAGAAAAGAGTAGCTGTGAGAACACTACAGTCTCTTTTTATTTTAAGTGCAAATCCACAAAATTGCTCCTCTGTCAAAGGTTGATTAAACCATAGCATTTTCTAAGTTCCTTCCTTGAGCCTCATCTATATATACACCTTTCTCCAAAAACATGAGAGTTCTCCCCTCCTCTGTTTTATCCTCACAACAACCCTGTGAGACTGAAAAGCCAGATGATAGGCTCAAGTTAAAGATTGTGGGTTTTAATGCTGTTCAAGGTCACCCACTGAGGTACATGGCAGACTGGAGATTGGAATCAGGGGCTTCCTCGGCCTTGTTAGACATTCCAACAAGTATATAGGGCTGGTTCTCAGCTCACTTCAAAGTCTCACCAAGTGCAACTTTCTGTGATCAGATTAGGGTTGCTGCCTTTTTTGCTTTTTAACATGAACCTAACATGCAGAAATTTAGCACCTGAACTGTTTCCTGACCTAGAGAGAAAAAGCTGAGGAAAGTGTTGCTTGATTTCTGTGTGTCTAGCTGCTGTTAAAGGCTTTCATTAAACAAAAGCTTGAGATCATATGCTTGTAGGAAACATCTTCCATGCTCTTCCTCTCTTATCAATGCCTGCCTTGCAGAAAAACAACAACTCACACTGCCAACTTATCTTATCAGCACCGTCTTCCTTGCCTTACCCTCCAACAGCCATCCCCCCCCCCTTCCTGAGGGCTTTTTCATGTAGTTTTACCCCATGTGGCCTTTTACATGCAAGCAGGTTTAACTATTGGCCACAGCAAACCAAAATAGTCACTGTAGTCAGGGCTTTTTTTGGTAGAAAAAGTCCAGCAGGAACTCATTAGCATAATAGGCCACACCCAGCAGCAGAAACTCATTAGCATATTACGCCACAACCCCTGACATCGCAGGTCATTGGCATTATAGGCCACACCCTTGGTTTGCCCAGGTGCCCCGCAGCTGTGGGGAGCCCAGGCAAGCTGGCCCTTGGACAGGCCAGGAAAGGCACAGGGAGGCATTTAAATGCCTCCCTGATCCTTCCAGTGTCCCCCCTGGCCCGCTTGCCTCAGAGTCGCGCGGGGGGGGTTTGCTCTCCAGACCTTCTCTCTGTAGCCAGTCACGTAGAGGTTTTGGCTGTAGTGGGCGTGGCCAACTCTGAAGCCATCCAGAACTCCGTTCCTATGTGTTCCTGCCCAAAAATAGCCCTGACTGTAGTGCCTATAATGTGTGAGAAACCCTTATTCTGTTCTCCGTGTAGGAAGTGGCAGATCATTCTTTCTTCACAAACTGTTTCATGTGATTATTGTAAGGACAAAATGCCACTCCCAGCTCCTTAAAGGAACAACAGGGTGGGAAATTAGCAAAGCCATAAAGCTTATTTAGAACTTTTTGTGACCTCAAAGACTAGGACCTCATGCCATATCTACAAGGGAAGTCTGGAAAGAGGCAGTGGTCCTTACCATGTCCACCAGGGCCACATACAGGAAAATGCCAGCTGTGATAGCAAAGATCCATGAGGTGATATCTGAAGTGCTCTTGCTGACAATGGCCCCCACTATTGTACCACAGTAGGCCAGGAAAGCAGAGAGCAGGTTGAAGAACAGCACTCGTCGGAGGGGAATGCCTGCCTGGAGCAGGACGGCACAGTCCCCTACAAAGGAAAGGGAATATCAAAAGTATAACGGCCACATCTTTCAAGACTGGGATGCACAAAAGCATTCTCCCCCCCCCCCACTTGTTCTCAAAACCAAGCAATACAGAGCTGGGGAAAAAACCACAGAAGAGGACAACCAGATGATTAAGGTTTAAGAATACCTTTCAGGTGAGACTGAAGATTTGGGGGCTTTTCAGTTCAGAAAAAAATATGACTAAGGGAGGCCATGGTAGAGTTTTATAAAATTAAGCAAGGGATAGAGAAAGTGAGTACAGAGAACTTGATGTTCTTATGTCTCTGATCCCCTTAACATGGATCTGTCTCAGCATGACCAAGATGCTGCTGTATATGCAGTTATTCCCTTGCCTGTTTGGATACAAGTAAAGATTTTCACCTACATGGGTCTTTCTGGAAACAAGCAGTAGCCATGCTGATAAAGTACAAGTAAACAAAGGGGGTCTATTTTGGCAGGTTAATATTTTGGTCATCAGAAAGATTTGTACTTGAGGTGACTCACAAGAGGAAAACGCAAAAATAAACAGCCTAAAATATTCACAAAGTTAAATAGTATCAGTCACCCAATGGTTAGAAATTCTGGAGGCAAAAACCTGAGGTTTTGGCCTGCTGGCAGAAGGAGATGTGGGATTTGAGGGGCTTTCCTGAATGTGTATGTGTATGTTAAGAAGGATGTTGCATTGAACACTGATTTCTTTCCTTTTTCAATTTCTCTCACTTACCAAGTTCATGGGGCAATTCATGGCAGAATACAGCCACTGTGGTACTTAAACCACTAGAGATTCCATCAGAGAAGGCAGCTCCTAGAGGGGAAAAAAATTCAGATTACTGTAACCCTTATGCTGTCTGTCTTTAATTTTTGGCAATCTGAATTATGCAAATTAATCTTGTTTTATGATGGTCCAACTTGATAGCTTCCTGATTCTCTACTATCCCTATGATTATGTGGAAGGAGCCTTGGGCAGGTCTTCCCGGAAATGTGTGGCCATTGTGCAGCTTCCTTTCTAGCTCATGGGACATAACCATCCCAGTCCTTTTCAAAATATACTAAATCCTGGGGAAACACAAGCACTGCAATCACACTATATAACGCAAGGCAGTTGATGCAGCAGAATCAGTATCACCCCAAGCACAGAAAGTACAATCTCACGGAGGCCAGTGGCCTCTAAATCTCAATCCAGGGTTTCCAGCAGGACTTTACAACTAAAGTGCTTTTTAGAGAGTTGAAGCCATTTTGAAAGAGAGGTCACTGGTTGTCATGGGCACACTCCTGCCACTCTACAAAACTGTGAAATACCACTTAGATATTACAGGGGGTTGTGTTTCTTCTAAAACCCACATAATCTGTTTGACATGAAATGAAACAGGGATGAAAGAATCCTGTATGTGCACACCACAGAAAAGTGTTGCCTCTCACAGACCACTTTCAAATCTCTTAAAGGTGTCCTTTTTCGGTAGTTGTGCCCAGAATTTAGGCTTCCTTCCTACAAAGTTTGGATTTTTAAGAATTGTTATTTTATTATAAGCATATAGAACACCATATGACATACAATATTTACATTTTTGTGTATTACAAAGTTTGGATTTTCTTCCCTGTGATTCCAGAATAAACCTAATTCATTAATCCTTCATTAAAAATTCCTTACCAATGGCCAACCCATCTGTGAAATTGTGTATCCCATCCCCTAGAATAACCATCCATGCTATGTCTGCAATCCCAGCACTGGGGTCGCCGGATGGGCTGTGGGAATGACCATGGTGATGTAGTTCTGTTGCCTGGCTCTCCAAGTTTGCCCCATATTCTTCCGAGCTGTGGATTTGGACAGCACAGTCCTGGACTTCACTGAAGAGAGTCCCAGTTTCTTCTTCAGGCATTGTCAGACTCTCAGATTCAGTACCTGAAACCCAAAACAAGCAGAGAAACGTCAGTGGACCTTGCCCGGCCACCCCCAAAATCACAAGATAATTGCCATGCGTGGCATGGACACCTTCTTGCCCACGTGGTATCCAAAGGCATTGTTGACTGTAATCTTTCCAGAAAAGATCACACCAAGCCTGGTTTGGAAAAGATCACAGCCAAGCAGGGAGAAAGCTCAGAAACAGGAGTACTAGAGGATAATATCATGTGGTTGCTCCCCAAAACAGTGCTGCTGTAAAGGAAGCCATTGTGAAGTAAACATCTGTGTGGAAGCAGCCTTAAGGCTGCAGTCACATACACACTAAATAATCCAGCTTCAATACACTTTCAGTGCACTTTCCAACTGGATTTTACTATGTTGTTGTTGTTCAGTCATACAGTCGAGTCCGACTCTTCGCAACCCCATGGACCAGCTCCCGCCAGGCCCTCCTGTCTTCCGCTGTCCTCTGAAGTTGGCTCAATTTCATGTTCGTTGTATCGATGACACTGTCTAACCATCTCATCCTTTGCCGTCCCCGTCTTCTTTGACCTTCAATCTACCTTCAATTTACTATGTGAACTGGCAAAATCCAGTTGGAAAGTGCATAGAAAGTGGATTGTTTAGTGTGTGTGACCGCAGCCTTATTGTACTTTTTATTTCAGTTTATTGTACTTGTTTCTGCTTATTTATTTAAAATGCATTTTTGTAAGCTGCTTAATATCCCCACTGGGGAGACAAACAAGGTTAGAAGTATCTAAGTAAATAACTACCCATCACATGAAAACCCATCACACAATTCGCCCGGTTCTGTGGGACCCCATTTGGCACACTTAGCCCTGCATCTGAATGGGACCAAAACGGCCCCTAGTGGAATGTAGTGTGAAAAAAGAAGATATTATAAAGAATAAAAAGTAGGCAACAAACCAGACTCCACAACTCACCATGAGGTGTTGCCCTAACTCCAACATGGCTGCTCTCCTCTCTCTTAGCAGATCGGTCAGATGGCTTTCCAGCAGTGCCCTTTAGAAGAAGGAAAACAAGCGCTATTAAGCTTAGGTGAGATGCGGTGGTGCTGGCACAGAAGTGGTTATTTACCAGACAAATGCCTGTATAATTGAGTGCAACCCTCAGAATTCCCTGCAACATACAGAGGATCTTTGCCCAGTGGGGTTGCTTTGAAAACTATGCCCTGAGTGTAGACGTTTTGGAAACCACTGGCATCTTAAACCACTTGGTCCTCATGAAATAGGATTCAGTTCTGCTCTAGTCGTAGTACTGAGGCATGTAGATGCTGTGGAATGTTGTCTCATTCTAAAGGTAGCAGTGAGGGACCAGGTGCTTGTGGTACTCTGGGATAACAGCAGCAATCTGTGACACACAAGGGATGTGGGCTGTCTCCCTCTACTGATGATGGTAGGCTGTGTAAAAATGTGCTGCTGTCTGGAACAAACTTGCTATAGTGTCATGTCAAGTGCTTTTCAGTCCTTCTCCTGCAGTTGATGTGAATGTGCGGAAAACAGAAAATCACTTCTGATTGCACTTTGTACTGGGTTTCTGTATTGATCAATGGCCATGCAATATGGTTGACTTACAAATGCATTTTAATTTTCCAGAGCTTTATGTGTTATTTCCATCTTAGAGGCTGGCACATGTGGAGAGAGGCATTTCAGTCTCTATGCATGGCAATGCAAGTGTGATTTCAATCTAAGTGACAGCCATGGCAATCCAGCACTCTTGATGCCAACAAGCCATGTGGAGATTTTGCAAATTCTGTGCTGGTTGCTGCTACTCTAACCAGCAGAGCTAGGGCTGGAAGGATGATCGCTGGTAGCTCAGGGATTGTAGTAATCCCCAATGTTACATGTTAGTCTGTCACAGCAAAAACAAACAGGAGTCTTGTGGCATTGCAGAAGACTAACAGGATTTTATTCTAGCATACACTTTCATGGACTACAGCCAATTTTGTTAGATGCAGCATAATCCTCTCCTTTCTCCCACTTTTCCAAACCTTTTCTGGTTCAGGCACAGAGAAGTCCACGTGTGGACACAGCCTCTGTCATGTGGCAGCTGAGCATTCTTCCACAAACCCAAGCAAACAAATCTCAAATATGAGATTTCCAGCTCAGCACACAGAGGCACTGATGGGAAGAGCAACTTCTGTTTTAAAAACATTGTGCTGAAATCCTTGCTAAAGTCTCCAAGCCAGCATGTAAGCTGCCCCGATTCCTGCACCTCTTACCTGCTTTCTGGGAATTTTCTTCAGTGTTCCCATGAGATTCTCAATGAGGAACAGGAGGTAAATGCCTCCCAGCACGCACAGGCCCCTCAGTACTGCATCATCTGCTAAGAGATCTTGGTTCAAGGGTAATAGACCATGGGATCTTAGTTGTGCCTGGATGAAAACAGTTCAGCAGAGAAATGTAGTCTTTGGATGCAAAAAGATATTACAAGATTTCTGCTGGATCAGACCAAAGCTCCATCTAGACCAGCATAATGTCGCCCACAGTAGCTAACAAGCTATGTGGACATAAGAAGACTCCTACTGGATCAGACCAAAGCTCCATCTGGTTCAGCAGTTTGCTTCTCACAGTGGAGGGCCAACAGAGAGGCCAAGCCTTCCTCTGGTGTTCCCACCTAGCCCTGGTATTCAAGGGTTTAATCCCTCCAGACATTTCCAGGAAGATCAAGAACAAGGCATCTGAACAACACTCAGCCCCAGCATGATGTGTAAAGGTATCAGAGCACAACTGGAAGAAAGATGGTCTGGGGAGAAAAAGTTACAGGGTGGTAGGTTTGGGGGGGGGGGGGGAGTGCAGCAGCCACATCCTGCCCATCTTTTCTGCCCTTTTTGGAAACCCAGTTCTCATATATGGATTTCCAACCATCTTATCTGTAACAACAGGAGTGCACCCAAGTTTTCCCACTAGACAAATAGTGACTTCCTGAGGCCATTTCAGGTTGGACCGGGGGGGGGGGGGTCTTGATTGTGCAAGCACCAGCACTCCATAGACCAAAGTGAATTGTTTTGCACTTTGGAAGTTGATTATTCACTCTGCAGCAATCATTAGGAAAGAAGGTAAGGGCATTTTCACACATGAAACTTAAAGCAGTTCTTGCTTCAACTGAGCTTTAAAAGCAAACAGGCTGTTTTCACACAGGTCTTTTTCTCCAGCCTGGCTCTCAAACTGGAGAGGGTTTTCCCCCCAGACTATCCATATAACATTGTCCTCCACACACTCTCCTTCTGTGGTAGTTTCTCATGGTTTACTCCAGTAGTTCCCAAACCAGCTTTGCTCTGATCTTTGGTGACTTCCACACATGGTCCAGCTCTGATGCTAATGGGAAGTAGGGTGTTTACTGCACAGGGACTGGTTTGTGTGGTTTCCCCACTGCTGAGGCAGCTGCCAATTCAGTGCCATAGTAACAGAGCTTCCAAATGGCAGGTTTCCTCCCTACACTAGCAACCATTTCCCCACCTGCCCCCAAAGATGGTTTTTTAAATCAACTGTTGGTATATCATAATTTTATAATAATCTGTCCATCAGGTTCACTGAGATCCCACTGTTCATATTTTTTGAGTCTCTGGCACCTTTGTTGTGGAGATACAAGGACAAAGGCATATCTCTGCAACAAAGGGGCCAGAGCAAGGTCCCCAACCTTTTACAGTCCCTGGGAACCTTTGGAATTCTGACACAGTGTGATGGGCGCAGCCACAAAATGGCTTCCCCAGGAGGCAGAATCATCCACAAAATGGCTGCCACAGCTTACCTTCAGTCACACAGTGAAGATTCTTGTGCTGTGGTGGCCGAAACAGCATTTTAAACAATTTGGACTGCCAATCAACTCTCCAAACAGAAGCCTTGCTTGGCTCTCCCACATTTGACGGGCTCCAGGAAAAATGTCAGCAGGCACCCTTTTGGGGACCCCTGGGCTAAAGTTTAAAAAAATTAAAGCTGGGAATTCAGAGAACCTGACAGGCAGATAACATTATAACTCTACAATGAAGTTACATTGCCAGTTTAAAATTTTAAACAAAACAAAAAAGCCCTCCGGTGGCTGGGAAGGATGGGCCACTGCAAGGTTCTAAAGAGGGGGACATAGCATTAATGGGGGCAGGACTGAGACTATCTAGACTGGTTTTGCTGCACTTGTTCCCAAAACATCACAGCAAAGCACGTTTGGGAAAGATTTCAGCAGTGATAGAAAAGGCCCTTAGGCTTCCCAAGTCCCCCCGGGGGCGGGAAAACCCCCGCCCCAGAGGCCGGTTCCCCGCCGGCAGCAGGTCGGGCCCCGGGGGGAACCCCACCCCGGCGTGCGCATCACCAGGAAGTGGCGTTATGACACCGGGCACGCTGGGGTCAGGGCCACGGTCATCCGAGGGAAAACTCGGTCCAAAAACTGGTTTTTCCTCAGGTGGTCGTGGGCCCGCCCCCAGCGTGCCCAGCGTCATAACGTCACTTCCTAGTGATGTGCGCGCGGTGTGCGCGTGCTGTCCAGCCGCAGAACGGGAGTTCCCCGGTAAGTACATTTTTTGACTTGGCAACCATAAAGGCCCTACATAGAAGCCCCACAATGCTGTGAGGAAGCAGGGGGAGAGGGGGGGCATCTTCCAATAACATTAAAGTCAGGTTAATCAATCTGTTATGTCTTAACGTAATAAAGACATGAGTGAGCTTATGCACAGTTCTATACTAAAAGAGTATTGCAAGGATTGAACTAAAGGGCCAATCAGAGAAGCCTTGTCTTCAGCGGGAACCACTCTCATTGGTTCCAAGCTTCGTGTTCCTATTGGTTGTTATCTGTTTGTTGGGTGTGGTTTTGCCCGTTCAAATCGTATATAAGTCAGCCTTGTTCTACGTAGTTTTGTCTTGTGTTGTTATGAGCTGAATAAAATGAAATCACTTTGTTTAAGAGCTGCCTCGATCTCAATTCATAATACAATCCATAAGTAAATGACCAAAACCAGGGCTGCTGCCATGTAAACAGGAAAGTCCAGATATTATAAGTAAATGACCAAAACCAGGGCTACTGCCATGTAAACAGGAAAGTCCAGATATTTCCCTGTCATGTCTGAATCACATTCAAAACCCTTCAGCACCCCAGTCTCTCCTGGTGGGTATCAAAAAAATTGGCAGTTGACAAATTGCTGTCCGTTGCCAATAAACCTGCCTCTGAAAAAGTCCTCCTGTGGGCTGTGGGGGGAATGATCACCCTACAGGTCAGGAACAGGAAAACTTGCAGTCCTAAAGCACTACTGCTACTGCACATTCAGCAATGACAGCAGCTATAAGGAAACCACCAAGAAGCATCATTGTGTCGAAGTCACATATCAAAGTAGGTTTGGCCACCATGTGGAAAGGAAGGTGCATATTTACAAGCCTCCCTGCCCACATCAGCACCATTTTCCCTTGCCACCACTTTTTTGCTGGCTTTGTAATATAAATAATATCTGTATCTCTATAGTGTTATAATGTTTTAATCCCTGAAATTACAGCAATTACTGATCTTTTAATAATCGGTATATAGCTACTAATGGTTTAAAAAAGAAGCCAGCTGAAGTCCCTCCAGTGATGTTTGTGGGGGATTGTCAGGCACAAGGGAATACCAGTGAAAACATGGAGACTATCTCCATTGCCTCTGCAGTCACAGTGGCAATGAGTGGACAATGGGGCGGCGTCATCACCATGTGGAAATATCCATACATTGGTCAAATGCTCATTCCAAATGCTTCCCTTTCGTTTTCTGTTCCAAAATCATAAGAATCAAATGCTTGCATGCAAGGGAAACAGTACATACGTGTGGCCAGAGGTGCATCAGAGCGTCTCCAGACAGTGTCCCCACAGCCAGCGCCACAAGAAAACTGAGAAGGAATTGAAAGACTTCACCCCTTAGAAGAGGGACAAGGACAATGGCTAATGCCGCAGGCAAACTGGTCAGGGTGATGGCTGCAAATGCCCAGCCTAAACCTGTGGGAAACAGACAGCATGAACAAGCTGGGGAATGGGGACAGAAGCACTAAAAGCGACAATAATGTGCATGGCTACATTTTGCAACCAGTGCATGTACTGAGCCCCTGTCCCTGCATACTATCTGTATGGATTAAAGGCAACAGAACTTCCTCTCTCTGGACACTGTCTGTTTCCTCCCCCTAAAGCAGCAGGAGCACAAACAGTCCTGCAAGGATTAGTAGCAACAAATATCTGAACATACAAAGCTTGGCGTTTCCCAAAGGCACTGGGTCACAAAGGGTCACAAAGGCACTGGGAATATTGAACGGGAGATTTAAAGTAGTGAATCCCTAATGCCTGCAAGCCCAAACAAAGAACGGGTGCGGTGCTGGAGAAGGGGAAGGCAGAGGTTCAGGGATGAGCTACAATAGCTGACGGTGAACTAAGATGAGTAGGGAAGAAGGGGCATGCTGGGGTCAGATCCAGGAAGGGTCCTTGAAATCAGGTTCTGGAGATTGTTTTAAGCACTAATGTTTTTGAAGCCCCATCTGTGAACATGGCAGCTTCACCTGTTGAAGAAGGCTGCCTACACCCTTCTTTGTGATGGAATAGAAATGCTATGTACTGACCACTCTGTTGGTTGATAGACTTCTTAACTGGCAAAATGTTCTCTTGAAATCTCCTAGGCTTATAGTTCTGGATGCCTTCAAATTTCAAGGAGATTTCATTGACATAAGTGGGTTTAGGACATCTTGGTTGCCATGGGAACCATGCGTCCCTGATCCAAGGTATAAGTTTTAAAATAAATAAAATTATGCTTTTCCTCAACATAGCCTGGATTCTTTGCCAAGAAAAGCTAACAGAAATATATTACACAACCCAAGTAAATGTTTAATTTAATCAGCTTCCCAGGTGTGACTCTCCAAAGTACTGATAATGCTCTAGAAAGCAAAGGAGCAGTAAACAGAGAAAGGCTCATGGAAACTGAAGGGAAAGGACCATCTGGAGGTATGAGGGATAAAGGGCAGCCATCTTCTTGTGTGTGTGGTTTTTGCCATCAAGTCACAGCTGACCTCTGACAACACCTTATAGGGTTTTCAAGGCAAGAGACATTCAGAGGTGATTTGCCATTGCCTACCTCTGCATCACGACCCTGGTATTCCTTGGAGGTCTCCCATCCAAGTACTAGCCAGGGTTGACCCTGCTTAGTTTCCAAGATGAGATCAGGCTAGCCGGGGCTATCCAGTTCAACGCAGAGCCATCAATAGGGAAAGCATAAATAAAAATTTAGACAACAAAGCATTCTTATTTAAGTTTTGGATACCTTGTCCAGGCCCCTCATACTCTGATTTCTGAGCATTCAACCAAATTTTCCCACACTTTTTTTGTCAAAATCACGAGGACTAGAAACTTGATTTTCATTTTAAAAAATCAAAATCTTTGGGATGCCAGAGTCCACTCCAAATACTCTTGTTTCCATCTTTACAGACAAATGTCCTGCAAAGAACACGAAGCTGCTAAATAGGGGATTAGGGCAAAGGCATAGGTTCTTTCATGGACCACATCTGGGGGGAAGCAGAGAGAAAGTTACCAGGCCAGAGAGAGCTTCCCATCATGCCAGTAGACTCCGCCTCATCATAGTGCTGGATGCAAACCCGGCTATCAATCTGGTAGAGCAAAGCTGGACACAGCAGAGTGAACTGCTCCGGAGTGATCTTGGAGACAGGATTCAAGCCAAAATTCACCAACAACTGTGATACATTGAGGCACTGTAGACAATTAAAACAAGGGGGGTAAACACAGAAGGACATAAGCAAATGTGGTAAAGTAAGGCCTGGAAATCCAGTCATTATTTCATTGATTCACAAAGCCAGTTCAAAGAGATGGAAAAAAAGCAGCTCCAGTTCTGTTGTGCGAATGGCAAAGCTTATCTCTAGAACATGCAAACATCAAGGCTCATCCCCGAAATCAGCCATCACAGCCAGTAGCCACCTGTCCAGGATGAGAGGATAAGGCCTCCAAGCAGGCTTTAAAAACCCTGACACCTCCCACCCTTACTGCAGCCTTTGAGCTACCTCCTCCAGCACTCTTTTTGCAGTAAATTCAATAATGAGTGAGCCAGTGTAGTGTAGTAGTTTGAATGGCAGCCTAGGAGTTGCCAACGTCCAGGTGGAGGCTGGAATTACAACTGATTTCCAGACTACAGAGATCAGTTCCCCTGGAGAAAATGGCAGCTTTGGAGGGTGGTATCACCCCTCTGCTCTGTCCTCCTCAAACGTCCCTCTACTCAGGCTCTGCCTCCAAATCCCCAGGGAGTTTCCAAACCCAGAGTTGGCAAGCTTGCCATCCTCCAGGTGGTGACTGGATTGTTCCTGGAATTACAACAGTCCCCCCCGACGATCTTGGCCACACCCCCAACGTGCTACGTTGTGCATCACTTCCGGTGACATTCCGGCGGCGCACGTGCGCACATCCCCAGCAAGCTCCTGGAGCGACAAGACGCTCCCCCGCCGGTGAGTAAATTCGATTTGGCAACCCTAATTACAACAGATCTTCGGATTACAGAGACCAGTTCCCCTGGGAGAAATCACAGTTAAGGAGGGCAGTCTTTATGGAATCAAATCCCCACTGAGCTCCTTTCCCCCTCCAGACTCCATCCTGCCCAGGCTCTGCTCCCAAATCTCAAGGAATTTCCCAACCATATCTGGATGACCCAGGTTCAGCTATCCACTCAGCCATGAAACTAATTGGGAGACCTTGGGAGAGTCTCCTTTGTTCAGCCTAACCCACTTCAATTGTTTGTTCTGGGGGCAATAAAGAGGATGGAAGGACCGTGTATGGCGCCCTGAGCTCCTTGGGCAAGAGACAGGATAAAAATGTGATAGACAGAATCTCCCAGCTTGCCTCTCACTTACATCCTCATGCAGGTGGTTATAGACAGAATGATCCAGGGCAATGACCCTCTCCAGAAGATTTAGGTCAGAATGTCCAGGGGGGGATTTGAAAGGGGTTTCACCCTTCCCAGAATGTTCTGTCGTTTGCCAGGAGCTTGATTTGGTAACGTGACTGATATCAGGGAGTGCAGGAGGTACTGATGCTGGGGTAATATGGCCCATCTGAGAGAATCCATTCCTGAAGGAAAAGGAAAATAATCATTCCCAAATAACATAAGGTGATGCAGTTTTAGGTTACACTTCTGAAACCGTTAAGACTGACTAAATGGATAGTTAGTAAATATCCTAATCTTCAGTCCCCTGTCATATTAAAGACAACATGACAGAAAGGCTTCTAAGTAAACTCAGCAGTCGTGGGACAAGAGGACAAGTCCTCTTGTGGATTAAAAGCTGGTTAATCAACAGGAAACAGAATGAGTATAAATTGGCAGTTTTCACATTGGAAGGCGGTAAGCAGTGGGGTACCGCAGGGCTCGGTACTAGGTCCGGTGCTTTTTAACTTGTTCATAAATGATCTGGAGTTGGGATTAAGCAGTGAAGTGGCTAAATTTGCAGATGACACTACGTTGTTCAGGGCAGTGAGAACTACGGAGGACTGTGAGGTGTACCAGAATCATCTGTCAAGGCTGAGCAAGTGAGTGTCAATGTGGCAAATGAGGGTCAACGTGGGCAAGTGCAAAGTAATGCACATTGGAGCCAAAAATCCTAACTATAAATATACATTGATGGGGTCAAAACTGGTGGTAACTGACTAGGAGAGAGATCTTGGAGTCCTGGTAGATAACTAACTGAAAATGTCGGTTCAGTGTGCGACTGCAATAAAATAGGCAAATGCTATGCTGGGGGTTATTAGGAAGGGGATTGAAAACAAATCCGCCAGGATCATAATGCCCCTGTATAAATCTATTGTGCAGCCTCATTTAGAATACTGTGTACAGTTCTGGTCACTGCACCAAAAAACAAAGATATCATAGCACTGGAAAGGGTGCAGAAAAGGGCAGCTAAAACGATTAAAGGGATGGAACACCTTCCCAATGAAGAAAGGTTATAGAGGTTAGGGTTTTTTAGCTTGGAGAAACAATGACTGAGGGGTGTCATGGTAGAGGTTTACAAAATTATGCATGGGATAGAGAAGGCAGAGAAAGTACTTGTGGGCACTCAGTGAAATTAATGAGCAGTAGGTTTAGAGCAGATAAAAGGAAGTACTTCTTCACCCAAAGAGTAATTAACACCTGGAATTCACTGCCACAGGAAGTGTTTGTGGCTACAAGCACAGACAGCTTCAAGAGGAGGTCAGATTAACATATGAAGCAGAGGTCCATCCGTGGCTATTAGCCACTTTGTCTGGGGCAGTGATGCTCTGTATTATTGGTGCTGGGGGGGGTCAACAGTGGGAGGGCTTCTGGAGTTCTGGCCCTGCCGGTGGGCCTCCTGATGGCAACTGTGGTTTGGCCACTGTGTGACACCGAGCGTTGAACTGAATGGGTCATGGACCTGATCCAACATGACTTTTCCAGTGTTCTTATGTTCTAGTTGGTTTAAAGGTTAAACTATTTTTTCCTTTACGGCTTATCTATTTTCTCCGGATTTGCTTTTATTCTGAAATTTAATTGTCAGTAATCAAATGTTTTCATATTTAATTAAGCCAGGCTAGTTAAACTTTTTTTTTGCAATAGCTGAGTCAGCTGGAGTAAAGTGAGGTCCTCAGCCAGCCCTCCTTGACAAGTTGCCTTGCAAAACCTGAGCTGTTTAACAGAACCGTTTGTGCAACCCCAGAAGGATGCCAATAACTTTGAAAAATCTGGATTACTGAATCATTGAGAGATTGTAATTTGGCTGCAAGCAAATCAGATACACAAGACCATCCTTGTAAGAGGTTAGCTGCAAATCGAGATCAAAATCTGCATCAATCTACCCAGCTTTCTCAACAAAAGCAGGCACGATCGACAATCATGGTGCATTGGTTCACAATAGAGGATGCTGCACTTGGCAAAAGTAGCTTTTTCCTCACGTGCATTCCCGAAAGCAGACCGATTACCTGGGGGTAACACCCTCTGCTTGAACCTTGCTTCTATGCTCAACCATTTGGAGGTGCTCCAGTGATGAATGGAAGTGCAAGTGCTTGTTCTCTTGGACCTCCAGGATGTCCAGATGGGAGACGTGGCCGTGGCCCAGTGCATCATGCTCAATTGCCACCACCTGCACCTTCCCTAGTCCCAGGCTAAGCAGCAGGCGCGTCAGGCCCTCGAAGGACAGGGTGCCATTCTCCCCGTACTCCCCAAAAAGCTGTTGCAGGTAGTAACCCTGCTCCTGAGCGGCATCTTCGGGCGGGCCCTGCATAACTCCATCAGTGAGAAAGTTGGGAGGATCATCCGGTACAAAACTATATGCGCTCTTCGGAGATAGCAGGACCCCCCATGCTCCAGCTAGAAGGAACCACAGTGCTCTCTGGTCCATTAACAGGGGCCTGCAATGGAAAGAACACAGTATGGAGCTCTGATGAGGAAGCGTGGCCTTAACAGTGGTGGCACGGTTCTCAAAGTGAGAGGCAGGTAGGGTTAGTGGCTTCGGAGTGCAGCCTGGACTTTTCCTGGAATTACAATTTATCTCCAGACTACAGAGATCAGTGCCCCAGAGGAAATGGCATCTTTGGAGGAGGACTTTATGGTCTGCCACAAAGCCTAAGAGAAACTTAAGTTTTAGAATTGATATCACATTCCCCCTGAGTTCCATCCCTGCCTCAAACTCTGCCCTCCCCAGGCAACATCCCACCAATGTGGTGCAGTCATTCAAATGTTGGACTAAGATCAGGACGCCCAGGTTCAAATCCCCACTCTGCCATGGAAGGCTGCTGGGCTGACCTTGGGCCAGTCACATACTCTCAGCCTAAGCTACCTCACAGGGTTGTTGTGAAGATAAAATGGAAGGTAACAGTGTAAGCTGCTTTGGGTCCCCATTTCACAGACTATGTAAGACAGAACTGTTCAGGAGGGCATCTTTATAAAAGAACAGGGCTGCATTATAACAGAGTGATTCAGGCAGACATTTTGACAGAGAGAAAGGGGCTGTTTAGGGAGACTGTTCCTGTTCTCTGTTGCCCACTAACCCGTAAGGGCTGGTGGGAGGATTCTCCCCCCCAAAGGTACCATGCTGGTGAGGCAACAATCTAGGGTGCCAGGCAGGACCTGAAGATCTCCCGGTATTACAACTGATCTTCAGACTACAGTGATCAGCTTCCCTGGAGAAAAGGGGTGCTTTGGAGAGTGGACTCTTATAGCACTGTACCCTACTGAGGCACCTCCCCTCCCCAAACCCCCGCCTTCCTCAAGCTCCACCCCCAACATCTCCAGGAATTTCCCAACCCAGAGTTGGCAATTGTAGCATTTGACAGAGAGAAAGGGGCTGTTTAGGGAGACTGTTCCTGTTCCCTGTTGCCCACTAACCCGTTAGGGCTGGTGGGAGGATTCCCCCCCCCAAGGTACCATGCCGGTGGGGCAACAATCTAGGGTGCCAGGCGGGACCTGAAGATCTCCTGGTATTACAACTGATCTTCAGACTACAGTGATCAGCTTCCCTGGAGAAAAGGGGTGTTTTGGAGAGTGGACTCTTATGGCACTGTACCCTACTGAGGCACCTCCCCTCCCCAAACCCCCGCCTTCCTCAAGCTCCACCCCCAACATCTCCAGGAATTTCCCAACCCAGAGTTGGCAATTGTAGCAATGTCACTTATGGTGAATACTGGAAGTGATGGCACTAGGCTTGCCAAGTCCCCCCGGGGGGCGGGGAAACCCCCGCCCCAGAGGCTCATTCCCCGCCGGTGGCAGATCGGGCCCCAGGGGGAACCCCACCCCCACGTGCACGTCACCAGGAAGTGACGTGACGATGCTGGGCACACTGGGGGCGGGGCCACGGCCATCCGAGGGAAAACTATGGTTTTCCCTTGGACAGTTGTGGCCCCGCCCCCAGCGTGCCCGGCGGCATCACGTCACTTCCTGGTGATGTGCATGCGGAGCGCGCACGCAAAGCGTGCACACGCTCAAGCCACAAGCCAGGAGTCCCCCACTGCGGCAATTTCTTCACTTGGCAACCCTAGATGGCACGTAGCCAGCAAGGTGACTCTCTAGGATTTTGGCAAATCTCTACGGATTTACTAAATGGTAGCATGTCACCTTGACGTCACCCCAGGGATGTGATGTTACTTCTGGTATTTGTCCAAAGTGATGTTGCGCCTCCAGTATGGTGTGGTGCCAGATCTGCCTGTCCCTGTGTCGCCCCCTCCCCCAGTTGTCAGCAACCCTATGAGACTGTGGAGGATACTACAAATACGTATAACTTATGTTACATAACACCATTTGTTGCATTGTTCAACCTGTCATGTTTAATGCTTACACCTTGTTTCATATTTCTGCACTGCCTAGTCCTATTACTTTGTTTATTAGGTAACCCTCATCCTACTGACTGTACTGGTTATGTAATTTGCCTTGGTTCTCAATGAGAAAGGCAGACTACAAACAAACAAACAACCTGCAGGAATTTCCCAAGCCATAGTTGGTACCCCTAGAGGCAGGCCTTCCCGATAAGGCCTCTGGCTCAAAGAGGTCGTGGTTTTCTCCTAACCCAAATCAGAAGACCTAAAGAACAGCCACAGCAATATCCTTACCATTAACCATGGAGTCTGAAGGTGCCAGTAGGGCCTTTGCCACACGCCAAGGGGGAATGCCTGCTGATTTCACGCACGTTAGCTTGATCTGCAGAAATCTGCAGGCAATGCTTTTCATTGCATAGAGCAGGGTTACTAGATGTCCTCTTTTTGTAAAACTGATGAAAATGTCCTCTTTTGGGGTTGGAAGGTTAGGAATACTCCCAGTTAGTAGCAATTATACAGCTTAAATAGTAGAGGTATTTAAAATGCGATTTGTCATAGTGATCACTTGGTTGAAGTAGTCAGTTGGGAAATATGTCCTCTTTTTTGCTTTTCAAAATATGCTAACTCTAGGGTTGCCAGCCTCCAGGTGGGGCCTGGGGATCTCCAGCTGACAGAGATCAGCTCCCCAGGAGAAAATGGCTGCTTTGAAGGGTGGACTCTATGGCTTTGTACCATGCCGAGGCCCCTCCTCTCCCCAAACCCCGCCCTCTCCCGGATCCACCCCCAAAGTCTCCAGGTATTTTCCAACCCAGACCTGGCAACCCTAGGTAACCCTAGCATAGAGGGAAGCACTATCACACTGCTAATGGGCTAGAGAGTTCACAAAAGATACAACCATCCCCACACAAGTGGAAGCCCTAACATTACTTCTTGCTGTCTGCTTGCAATATTCCTTCTAATTTCTTCTAATACAAATTCAAAAGCTAATTTTGTGGACTCTCTGTTGCATATTCCATTGCTCCATATGCATGTTGTTATTCATAAAAAATTACACTGGAGTGGTTATGTGCAGTAGTTGCAGCCCTTGCACTAATTGTTTGCAAGAGAAGAAATGTCTGAGGTGCGCTGTTTAACATATATTTGTTTTATTGCTTGTAAGCTGCCCTGAGCCGTCTTGGCGGGAGGGCGGGGTAGAAATTTAATTAATAAATAAATAATCTTTGGTGGAAAAGTTGGAGAATTTTGGCCTCATCGCATTATTCAAAATTTTGTTGTCATTCGTTGGGAGAAACATCTTTGGCATAAACCTAGAAAATATGCTGTATTACAAATAGAATAGTCCGTTTTTTCTCCTTCTATTCTATTGCACCAAACAACATCCACATATCCAATTCTGAATGCAACCAACAACCCAAGGAAACCAGATTCAGTCAAACCTTTGTTTTTTTAGTTAAATTAGCTGATCAAAGTATGCCTTTATGCTTTCCCTCTTTTCTGGAAGCAGTTCGTGCCAGACGTCACAAAGCAGGAATAAATGTATCAGTTGAATCCAGACTAAAATCACCAGTTTCTACTTGTTTGCCCTTCCTGTTGCAGATCCCCTCTTGTAATTTCTTATGGTTCCCAGAAGCAGCATTTTGTGGGCATTACTGGAATAGCTGTATATGCCTCCCTGCATATAGAAAGGTAGTACATCAGGGAGAATACTTATGTCCTGATATTTTCACTGACATACTAGCTTCCCATAGCCAGATTTCATTATTTTTTTGACAGGAAGCACTTAATGGGTTGCCATTAAGTTGGCAGTGACTTGACGGCAAAATAAAATAAAATAAATCATTATGTGGCAAACGTATTTGCTACAAAGTTCACAATATGCCCTAATTTTAACCGTACTCTTGCTCAAAACATGCCAAGCTTTATCATTTGTTCTTCTGCCCCTATAGTCCTAAGGAACAGGTAGCCATAAGTTTAGCATGAAGGATTCTAACCTGAACAGCAGCAAGCAAAAAAACTTTCTGTCACTTCCCAGTATTCCCGATTTGTTCAACTGCCTACTTACCTTGTAGTCCTAAGGAACAGGTAGCCAGAAGTTTAGCGTGAAGGAATCTGACCTGAACAGCAGCAAGCAAAAAAAACTTTCTGTCACTTCCCAGCAGTCCCGATTTGTTCAACTGCCTACTTACCTTGGTTTAAATACCTGGAAAGGGATGGTAGTGACCAATGTTCCCTCTAAGCTGTGGGGTCTTGTGAGCAAAACTTCTACTTTCTGAGCTACTGGCATTAAAGCTGTGAGCGAGCGATTTGGCTACTGCATAAATTAGCTTGCTCTGGAGCCATCCTTCCTGAGCCAAGACAAAAAATGTGTGAGCCAAAGGCTGAAAAACTGTGAGCTAGCTCACACTAACTCAGCTTAGAGGGAACACTGGTCGTGACCACCTTTGGGTTTGAAGTGACAGCACTAGAATTTACCCCAGCCAGTTTTGATCTGTATAAAGTTATCCCAGCCCTGGCCTGGATGGCCCAGGCTAGCCTGATCTCATCTGAACTTGGAATCTCAGCAAGGTCGGCCCTGGAGAGTCCTTGGACGGGAGACCACCAAGGAAGTTGAGGGTTGCCACACAGAGGCAGGCAACGGCAAACCACTTCTGAACATCTCTTGCCTTGGCAACCCTACAAGGTTGCCATAAGTTGGTTGCAACGATGGCACTTTCTACCACCAAAGTCATCCCACACCTGTTCCAGAGAGAAGATGGGTTCTCTCGCAAGGAGAGCTAAGTAACCCTATCCAACCAAAGGTGCTTGTTCCTGCACAACGACAAGGACTGGCCAGGATCTCTGAGCAGTTAATCACATGAGCACATGAAGGTGCCTTAGACTGAGTCCTCATACCTTTGTTCTAAGAAGAGCAGCAGATGAAAAGGTCTCAGGCAGGCAGGGGGTCTCTCACATCACCTACTGATCCTTTGGATTGGAAATGTCAGTGATTGAATCCAGGACCTTCAGCATACAAAACAAATGCTCTACCACTGAGCCATAGCCCCTCCTTAAATAAAGTGGGAGTTTCTCCCCAAACCTGGCTCTATTACATTAGGTTTATG